CATTGTCTTCAGAAATTAGCCTTACGTCTCTGATCTTAAGGGCTGGCTTTCACACACCCACTTATATCGAACTGATAACTGATGCAGGTTTTCCCCTCACCAGAGCTGCCAGAAAGGGTTAAGAAGCTTCTGCTGATACAGGTATCGTTACCTCGTTGTACCTTCGTTTGCTGAAACTTCGTCTGCAATGTCTGGTAAGCGAAACAGCAACCTTCCAAGTGCAAGATGAGGCGGTGTTATGGGCGTTAGATCTCTAACATCATCACTTACTGTCGTGAGCGGCCTCGAGTTAATAACCGCCTCAATTCTGGTAAGTACGGTTGCCAACTCTTCATAGGACTAAAACGCCTTGCCTAAAACCTTGCGAGGAGGTTCCTTCACGGAACGTAACAGCCTCTCCCACCAGCCACCACGCCAAGGGGAACGTTCGACTTTGAACCACCATTTGATTCCCCTTAAGGTCAATTTGGCCCTGAGCTCTCCTTGATCTATTTTGTCCCACGGTCGCCTACTGGCGGATGACTCTTGTGTGAACAACTGTTGGATCTCGCGGTCGGCACTCTTGAACGTCTTTGCATTGTCGGACCAAATGGTGCTACAGAGTCCTCTGCTACTGATCATACGAATCAACGCGTGGAAGAATTCATTGGCTGATAAGTCATTAGTAACCTCTCGATGAGTCATGCGAGAAGAGGCGCAAGTGAAAATGCAAATGTAAGCCTTCGTTGAGGTGGGACTCCCTCGTACAAACAACGGCCCCGCAAAGTCTATTCCGACGTGAGTGTAGGCTGGAGACCACGACACCCTCTCCGACGGTAATAGCGCCATCTTTTGTGAACATGGGCCGACGCGCGCGTTGGCGTTGACAAACAAGGCACTTTTCCAGAACTCTCTTAACTTCACGGCGTCCCTAGGTGAGCCAAATCTCTTCTCGTAGGACCGAAAGGGTGCTCTCTTGTCCAGCATGAACCAGCTCCTCGTGCACACTTTGTATGGTCTTTTCAACCACTGGATGCCCATGCGGTAAGATAATTGGATGTTTGGTACCCTCTAGTATGTCCGCGTACTGCAATCTTCTTCCTACCCGTAGCAACCGATCTCTCTTGTCTTAGTAGGGATCCAACTTCAAGAAAGCACCCTTGTTTAGTAAAACAATGTTTTCCTTTAGGCTTTCATACTCCGCTTGGTACACCTCCCATTGTATCTGTCGGTACTAGTGTGTCTTGTAACACCTCTACTGACAGTTCTTTGCAACCTGAACTTATTTTTGACTTGAAAGCTTTAACACCTCGAAGTACATATGCTGTCACTCGAACTAAGGTTTGACATCGCTCATATCTACACGGATCGATCACTGGTTCCTTGGCAATCGCCGCACAAGCTCTTGCCTGTTAGTGTTTTCTCTCCTTCTCCAAAGACTCAGATAATTGAATTGGCAGCTCTCGTTGATCAGTTAAGTATTGTGTAGACAACCAGGAGGGTCCACTTCACCACAAGTTGCTAACGGCTAAGACCTTGGCAGGCAATCCTTTTGTCAATAAGTCCGCAAGATTGTCCTCCCCTGAGCAGTGTCTCCAGTGCTGTGAGTCCCATGTGGACTGAATCTTAGCAACGCTGCTCGCTACGAACGTCTTGCACTGACAACTTGAACCTCTGATCCACTGGAGAGTCAAAATGCTGTCAGTTCAGCACACTACCTGATCTTTTAAGAGTGTTAGGGATTCTGCAACGAACCTCAGTAATCTTGTATAAGTGACAGCCGCAAGTAACTCTAATCTTGGCAACGACACAGTCTTTGTGGGAGCCACTCCTGATTTGGACATGACAAGATGGATTGAAATATGACCGGCTTCATCCACGTACCTGATATAGACTGCCGCACCGTACGCCTTCATTGAAGCGTCACCAAACCCGTGGAGCTCTATGCTCGAACTTGATTCAATGTTTCCCATAAAATAGCGGGGAATGGTGATGCAACTTAAATGTGAAAGCTCCGATTTCCACGACCTCCACTGATCAGCAATGTCATCGTCCAAACGGTGCTCCAACTGTTAACCTCGCTGCCAAAGTTTCTGGAATAACATTTTCGCTGTGATCGTAAATGGCGTGATTAGTCCTATAGGATACAAAACCTTTGAAACAATGCTCAACAGGTTACTCTTCGTTTCGGAATCATTAGCAGTGAGCACACTTGCTGGAACACTGAAAACAGAGGAAACAGTTAATTTATTCCAACACATTCCCAGTACTTCAGCTGTTCACTTGCATTGAAATAAATGGCACTGGACTCCGCCTGCTCTTGCTCGCGCAATTGAGCCCACTTAATCAGATTAAATCCACCTCGTTCCATCATCAACTCCACCGTAGCGTCACCTTCATCATCACCGGTAAGGCAATCGTCCACGTACGTGTTTGAGAGGACTTCACTTGATACATCAGGAAACTCTTGTCGGCATTTCGTTGCGTGACTTTGAACTGTGGCAATGGCCAGGAATGGACTACAATTAACGCCAAATGCCAATCTCTGCAACTTGTAGATTCTCGGTGGATCGTCACTCTTTAGATCCCTCCATAGATATCGTAGACCGTTCTGGTCTCTTTCGTCATCCTTGATCTGGAGGAACATCTTCTCAACATCAGCAATAAGTGCGACCCTACGAGTTCGAAATCGAAGTAGAACTGATACAAGATTAGGTTGAAGTGATGGCTCTGAGAGAATACAGTCATTGAACGATAGCTCATGTTCATCGTAAGCTAACGCATCAAAGACAACACAACACGTCGTAGTCCTCTTGTCTTCCCGGAAGACTGCGTGATGAGGTAAGATACCGGACTTTCTTGTCACCATCAACTGCCTCCTTTACCTCTACAGCATACCCCTTTTCTACATATTGGTTGATGGCATCCTTGTATACATTGGCGTTCTCTGGGTTCCCTTTAAGCTGCCTTTTCTACTCCAGTCTCTTGATCGCCTGTAAGGAGTTTGACCTCAGTGGTGGAGCATCACCTTTCCACAGCAACGGTACTTTATAACGCTCACAATCAAACTTCAGTCCCTCGTTGAACTGTCTAACAGACTCTTTTTCCTCTAATGGCATATGTGCATCTCCTTTGTCGGCAATTCAGATAGATTCTACCTCCCAAAATTGCTTAAGACTGCCAGTGACTGGGTCAGTGCGCACAACTGAAAACATCGACTGGGTGTTCTTACGGGGTAGGCGCTCAATAGGTCCTCCTATAATCCATCCTAATGAAAGCGAAGTAAAAGTCTGTCCCTATCAAAATGTCAACGTTGACCGATCCACGAGGGTACGATTCGGCAAACGTCAAGCCCATCATGTGACGGTATTTCTGCAGATTTTGTCTATGGTAAGGGCCTCCCCTTAACCGGCTTTAAAACGCTTTCTTGAACAGAGGTGAGGGAGAAGCTGACTCTCTTCATTCTTTTTGTCTGACTGGATTCTCCCCCTAACATGGAAACACTAAAAACCTCAGAAGGTCCATCTAAAGCCAATGATTCAGCAACATTCTTAGTGATATAACACCTTTGGCTTCCTGAGTCAAACAGAACGCGGACAATCGCTCTCCGGTCACCGTCTGCAGCCAACTTAGGCGTCCCAGTCTGTAATAACGCCTGTTGCATCTTGGTGATGTACGAAGACAAAAACCCACTGAATGTTGTCCGTCTTTGTCCTTCTGTACTCCTTTCCCGGTCACCATGAAGCATAGTGTGATGTCGTCGTCCACACTCCTCAACACTGCATTTGGGTTGGCGAAGAGTAGTGGAAAGTATTTGAAGGCTTTAAACAGCTAAAACAGAATCGGTTCTCTCTAACTAACTGCCAACGTTCTTCTACCGAGTCTCGCATAAGTTCTGGACATTTAAGGGTTTCCTACCCCTGCTGCTTACACAAATTGCACACTGCATTACTACTCTGATTCATCCCGTCTGGTAGTAGAGCAGCTTCTGTAAACGTTTTCTCTCGGGTGTTCTTTACCCCAGGTCCGTTCTTGTCCCATCCCCCATTTCCTCTCACTATTCCACCACTCTGGGAATAGTAAACATCTTCACCAATCACACTAGCATTTCTCTCCCGGCCTCTTTGGAAATCACTTGCTTGTTCAAGAACTTGAAGAAAAGTTCAAGAAAAACACTCTCTTCTTTGCTGTCAGTTACTTCTAGTTCCCATTTCTCGGATAACTCAGGTGGGAGCTTGGTTACCAATATTGGAAGAAGGATACAAAAATGTGCCATTGGTTTTTCACCCAGTGCTTCCAAAACCCTAATTCGATTCTTTAGAGTGTCATGGAGATCTCGCAAAGATGCTACTCCTTTGTTTGACCTTGGCTCTAGCTGAACAATTGACTTAACCAAAGACGAAATAATTATTCTTTTCCTACCAAACCAATGTTTCAGATCATCAACAGTGTGGTGATAATTAGCACTAGTGACTTCAAATCCTTCGATGGTTCGATAAGCGATCCCTTCAAGTACTGAGCGCAGGTAGGTGAGCTTCTGAAGAACAGGCACATTGTCATTATTATGAACAGCAGCCTCGAATTGATCCCAAAAATTTCGGAATTTTAAAACACCTTCATCAAACTTGGGTAACAACAGTTTTGGTAATTTCAAGTGTGATTGTTTATGTTTTGTTGAACACGAGGTGGTTTGTTCGTCTACCTTTGAAACTGTTTGTTTAGATATGTACTCTTGGGCAATGTCTAAGGCATTATCAATCGCTCGCTGATAATCAATCCACCTTTGAGCTTCTTCAGCAATTTCATTTTCAAGAATAAGTGCTATGATCTGATCTCTTACCTCACTGAAACTCTGCATGTAACCATTTAACTTTTGAACACGATTCTTACAGACTTCAGACTACAATATTTTCTTCGAGAGCGAAAAGCACATGTTATGACTCCCCATAATACTAACGCAACAACATGTCCCGGGTAGGGTCGTTACATTACAAGTCTAGTCTCACGGGGGGTCGAGACAATCTACCGCTTCGGGTTCGGGCCGGAACAGCCTGCAAAAAAACATAACTCTAAAGGAGTATTTTTTTTCTTCATGGGTAAAGGCCTTAGAGTAATGAACTTTGCACAGAATATGAATACATCATATTCAGGGATCGTGACATGCCCCTTTTACCTTGCCAGATATGGTGGACTCATGTGAAGTACTAAGAAGGAGTGGACGAATTTCAATCAAATAAGAAGGCTCTTCTTTTAACTGATTCCCTTCACAATCCATGTCTCTTACTTTCCGCCACTCATCGCTATACCAGCTGCCAACAGTGATCCACACGTATTTGCTTCCATACAGTTGCATTTCGAGAGCCTATTGGTCGGACATAAAAGCGCCTTAGCATATGAAAAATCAGTACAATGACGACTATGCACGCGCTGCAATCCTTTTAATATGGTGGCTAAACACAGTTTGGTTAAGGCTTTGGATCATTACGAATCGTTGGTAGGATTGTTATTTAAAACTAGTTGCACGTAAAACGCTCAAATTTGCCAGGAACAAAATGTATTTGTAAGACATTTCATTAATTAGGTGTCAAGTGCGATTTAGATCGTTTCAGGGCAACAAGAATGTTTTCAAACAAGCGCTCTCAAATTGCTCCCCAAGTACGCATGCTCAATACTGAGATCACGCGATGTGTCAAAGGCGACGAAAACGAAATGAATTTCTTCTGACGACTTCTGGGCTTTGTTGTCAACTTGTCATTCAACTTTTCCTTTAAAAGCTCATTGGCTACATATCTCCTAGCGATAACGATGTTAACAGGAAAGTGAAGAAGCATTTCCAGAGAAACTGTGTTCAGCCACCTTTTGGAACAAGGTCTCTCCAAGAAGGGAATTATTTAATTTGTCACAAATGATAGCTATTCAATGTTCCTTCAGCTTTCATAGTCCGTCTGATTCCCAAAAATTCTTTTTCTAATATTATAGACTTTTTCATCGTTAGCCGCCATTCTGAATCAGGCGTTAAGCACTTCCGTTCAATAAGAAAATTGGTTTGAGTATCAAATGGCTGAAACCGGTGGCATTCCTACTACTTTATTTTAATTAACAAGAAGCTTAAAGAAACATGCTCTTTTTTTCCGTTTTGTATTGTAGTAACCCTTTTTATTACTATCCTACTATCCAGGTGACATTTAATTTGTCAACATATTACTCAACCGTTCAAATAGAGGTCGGTCGGTCAAACAAGCTCCGAATTCCACCTTTAGTTGGGTTATGAACCCGCCGGTATAAGAAGTTAGACGTTTCGCAAGTACCCCATTCATTGGTGAGTAGTTCTGCTACTGCACAGAAGACGAATTGTGTATGGTTCGCTTCTGTAACCCTATCGGAAGGGAATAGATTGAAACCCACTAGTTGAATCAACTAGTTGGTCTTTAGACTTACTGTGCACATGACCTTTCTAAACTTGTCAGCATACATCAAAGCAATGATGATTCTGGCATCGTTTTTCTAAACAAGAGAAATAACCAGTGATATATGAAACTAATATTTTGTCATCACCACTATGCTTGTAATGTCTGTGATAAACGGTCACTGGAATAAACCATTTCCGAGTTGCCTGAAGTCTCTGTCTTAAAGCGAGGCTAAGTACGAACCATTGATATGAAAATAATCTTTATTCTTCCGCAAACGAAAGTTATAGTTTTTAACTCGAAAATGGCCTATAGGCTTTTGTTGCTGTTGGTGACCTATGACATCATTTAAAATGTCCTTCATAATGGCGGTCCTCTTGAACCTGAAACCTCCTCTAAACTTTAATACATTTTTTAAAGCAATTTATAGTTGCTGGTAGTTCGTCATACACTTTTTTAAAGAGAGAAAAACAAATTGCTGGTTAAGCCTGCGGTCTTCATGATACTATGTCTTGTTACTATGAAGATTACTTAAACCCTGCCTTTTGAAAAGTTAATTCAAGTACTCTAGATGTTTTGTTAAGATATATTTTAAAGAGATTTATCAAGGTTGCCTTGCCTTTAGGTTCTCGACTGAAGGTGACGGATCCTTTTTGAAGCTTTCCGTGGTTGTTATATTGATATTTGCTTCCTCTAGTTTTAGAACCAGGTTTTCCTTCGTCTACATAAAAAAGAAAAGCAGTGATTTCAACTGTTACCTCTACATTACTTCAGTTAAAGAAAAAATTTTGTAAATTTGCTATAAAAGCTAGCTCTGTTATTGTCAAACAGAGTTCATTATAAATTTATGTTGTCTCATACGCAGCCGTTTTCATGTGTTTTCCATTTTCCATTTTCCCTTTAAAGTAAAAATTCATTGCCAAAAGCATTTTTGATCGCTAAAATGGACGCAACAACAGCCGGACCAAATTTTTCGCGATTTTGTTTACACATGCTTTGTTGCTATGACACTAAGCAGATATATATTTATCACGGATCTTGCGAAAGTTGACCGAGACGTGCACAAATTACGCTAGATCCAAGTTTGCTTCGCAAGGCAATTAAATTAGTATAGTGGTTTTTATAATTGATTGAATACTTTTTACCAACACAAAAATATCCACGTTTTGTATAATGAGGGCAACCCTGTTCCATTTAAAGTGCTTTAATAGCGCCACTCTTGCTGGATTTCCCATTGTCTCTGAAGTGCTGGTTCTGAAGTAAAAAGGAAACTTCTTCTTGTCTGAAAACTCCGGTGACGATGCGCTGTACCCGATCTAACAGAATACAGAAGGTTATCTTCAACCGTTAATTTTCAAATATATTTCCAAGTAGTCAATATTCAATGATACCCTGTGGCAGATCTATCGGAGGGACGCGTGGTGCCCCAACTTATGTTTAGGCCAAAAAGAAGTCCAATGCGCTGAGAAAATTTTATTACTTTCGAGGCCATGCCCACCTCTCACCTTAGAGTCTGGATGGACTGGCTCGCCACTGATACCGCTACTGACACCACCACTGATAGCACTAATCTATTTTCTTCCGTCTCGTCGAAAATTATCGATCAAAATGGAAATAACGATGAATGCGTTTTTGAAGACTTTAAACTGTGTATGGCAAGTATGATACATACATACATGCATACATACATACATACATATACATACATACATACACACATACATACACACACATACATACATGCATGCATGCATACATACATACGCCGTTTACAGGTAGCCATTACGACACCTGAACTATGTTAAGATCTCCCCTTACCGATAACCCACCCAGCCCAGGAAAGGTTGGCCACACCTCCGGGGACTACGTCCCCTACTCCTTTCGAACTGTGGTGTGGTTTTTTTTAGGCCCCACAAGAACCAGATAAGTGAAAGTGCTGTGAGACAGGACCTACAGTTTTTCGTCTTTATTGGAGAAAACTACGAAGTCTAACCTTTTGCAGATGTCATTACAAAGGCAACACTTTTTTCTCAGTTATTTAAAGACCCTAAGTGTTGGTCCGGTCGGGGTTTGAACCCGCGTCCTTTCGCTCAGCAGACCGGCCCTCTCCTATTTTTAACAAAAAGGAGAAAAATGGTTTTTACTAACTAGGAGTGCACTCCAGTAAAGCGCGGCTTCAGCAATCGGCGTTGTTGCCACGGAGCATCCGGGACCAAACAAAACAATCTTGCGCCGACGTTTTTCATTCATCAAATCTAACAGAGCTAGGATGGCTTCTCCACTTCCACACTAGTAGGGAAAGATATTAAATAATGACATGAAATAATAATAATAATAATAACAATAATAATAATATTAATCAATTTATTTGACGGGGGTAACACGGGACAGTACTTCAACTGAATAACTAGTGGCCTTCAAATTTAAAACTATAACAACAAAAATTAAGAAACCAAAAATACATATCTTTAAAAGAAAAAGAATTATAAGTATATGTATGATAAGACTAAAAAGAGTAAAAACTATATTACAATTATAAAATATCCTTACAATGAGTATCTACAAACTATAATCACAGTAAGAATATGACTAGGATGGCTCTAGCGAGAGGAAGGTTGTGAAATGCAGGATTAGCATACAACTAAGAAATAATATATAGATTTACCCAGGGCAAAAAGCGAAGCTCTCGTTAATATCTATAGTCTACTAAAACAAAATATAAAATCGTGTAACGCTAACCAAGTGGTGACGGCAACGAAAACAGCAAAAAAAAAAAAAAGGTCTAATTAGCAAAAAAACAACTTTATACGTGCCGCACACTTTTTTTGTACATTTCTTTGCTGTTGTTTTGCACGACGACAACGTGAAACTTCCAGAAACTTCCTAGTTACACGTCTTATGGAGGAAATGTTGTATGTGGGCCTGTTCACTTTTTTTCGCTGCCGCTCATTTTTACTTTGGTGACCGCTAGTATTTCTCATTTTATCACAGCCGCTATAAAATTTTCATGTTATTCTTCCGACGAAATTGGTCTCCTTTGTTATTTTTCTAATATGTCTGGCTCTAGCTCTTTCTCTGTTATCCACGCCAATGTACAACATCGTTCCCAGGGTTCTCTCCTACCCGACCCCTGGAGCGAGAGAGAGAGACCCTGGAAAACGCTGGTCACGTGTCTCCCAGGAGAAAAAAAAACCCAGGAAGGGTCCCTGTTTCTGAAAGTTTTGTCGCCACAAATTTTTGTCAACATCAATACGAGGCAGACTTTTCTCGTTCGAGATCAACCTCGTTCCCAGGGTTCTCTCCTACCCGCCCCCTGGAGCGAGAGAGGGCCGGGTAGGAGAGAACCCCGGGAACGACGTTGGCCAATGTAGACTTTAAAAATAAGTCGAGAGAAAGAATCGGCTTCGTTGTGGTTGTTTTTTTTATCTATGAAAGTCCGGGTGGCTATGCGATTAACTGACGAAACGCGCGGATTTCACCCCGGCTACATAAAGGGGTGGACGTACGTACGGACATACTCCGTACGGACGTTTTTTTCAGAACCAAAATTTCTTGGATGCATAGTTTACCAAATTTTCTTACCCATGATGCTCCGCTGCGGGTGGTTCGCGCGCGAGAGCTCCGCTAAATTTACGTTTCACTTATGCTAAAATGATCTAAAAAATGACTATAAACAGCCTTTCTAAATGAGGTTACACATGTTCCCTTCTTGAGGTTAATGGGCAGAGAGTTCCAGAGCCTGGTCGCGGACACGCTAAAAGTTCTCCCTCCCTCAGCTCAGATTCACGATTATATCGGGGGCACACTGCGTGTGTGTAAATCTGAATTCCATTTAAAAAGGTCATACATGTAACTGGGGCGGTTTCCTTGTAGGCGCTTAAGGACTAGGGAACACCTGTTAACTTCAGCCTCGTCATAAAATGGGTATTTGATCTCGTGTCAGCTCCTAAAATTACTCGGACAGCACGTTTTTGCAGCTTGAGGATTCTCGTTAAGTTATCAGCTGAGCAGTTTGACCAAATAGTTGACCCATACAGGATTACGTTTTTGATCATAGCATCGTAGTAAAATATGCGCTGTTAATAGGGATGAATCTCCTATCTTTCTAAGAACAGCTATTCTCTGGGATAACTTCTTACACAGTTCCTCGACGTGTACATCAAAGCTTAAGTGTTTGCCAATAGTAACCCCTAAGATTTTCTTACTATCAACCTGTTCTATTTCAGAGTTAACAAGTTTGAGTTCCAGTGAACACTCGTCAAGCTCGCATGGTATACGTTTCCCTGTAACAAGGAGACATTTCGTCTTTGCAGCTTTTGTAACCATTTTGTTGACCACCGTGAGACGTCATCTAAGTCCTGTTGAAGGGCTGATGACATGGCAGTAAGTCCATTAGTCACCTCTGATGATAAACTGAGAGTAGTGTCATCGGCATAGATGTCTACGATAGGATGCTGCGCCGCCGATGGCAGATCGTTGATAAACAGGAGAAATAAAATGGGGCCCAAAATGTTCCCTTGCGGTACTCCAACCGACACAGTTCTTGGGGAGGAATGACGGCCATTCATATGTACATACTGTTTGCGTCCACTTAGATAGACTTAGATAGTCAGTGAAAACGCAATAAATTTTGGACCTTAAGTAAGATTTCAAAATTCAAGTGTTAAAATGTAAATGTCAACATTTAAGGTGTCAACATTTTAGGTGTCAACATTTAAGTCCATTCCTATATGGGCAAATTATTTACTAAGCAACTGGGTAGTTACCTTGGAATCACGCCAAACGTACTTAAGCTCGTAGTCTGTGAGGATGTTTGGGTTATTGTTCACGTGATGAAGCGCCATTTCAAAAGCTGGTATAACACCTGCCGTACTCCAGCCATCAGTAATGTTTACACCAAAAAATGCTCCAATGTAGAGCTCCTTTCTCGACGTGGAGTTGGTACTTTTAATAGAAGTCGTCCAGAAGAAGCAACAAATAATGAGAAGAAAATGCACTGCCATTCCAAAAATCCTTTAGTGGATAAGATAACATGTCAGAAGAGACCTATCCTTGACCAAAACAACCCCCGCAAATTAGCGGATTCTCAAAACTTATTATAGCTGATATACCTCGTCGGTTGTAATCACGACCAAATTTTACAGTTTATTAATTCTTTCTTTTATATAAACTGAGGCTTCTAAGAAACGTTCTTCTAGTAAAGTTAAAAGCATTTTACCTGACATGTCCTTGTTGGCTAGTTGCAGTGTCGCTTTCGCTGCCGTTGTTATTCGATACCTTTTTTGACAAGTTTAATGCGACTGGGCTCCATATTGAAAATATTTTAGACTTGAAGTCGTACAGTTTGACAGAAGAAGAAAAAAATCCTTTAAAATGCACGAGATTCCCCCTGAAAAGAAATCTTGGAATTTGATTGGTTCTACATTACATCGAACACATGAAAGTTCTCAAATATTTTATCAAGTGGCAACGGTAGCGCGATTATTCAGCCGATTATTGTAAAATTCAGTGGGACCGTATGTGTACCCTTAAAAACATACGGTATGTAACACTTTATCACAACTCCACATGAAATGTGAATTATTATTCTAATAAATAGATTCAGCCAGGGCTAAAAGCGAAGCTCCCATTAATAAATTTACAATTTAAATCAAAGACATTAGGGCACTTCATGTGACTTTTGAGGGAAACGCTAAATGATTTTAAAGAAAAATAATTTGCAAACAGTGCAAGAGTGAAACAAATCTTACATTGAGTTAATAGCCTGAAGCTTATATGTACACCCAAAAAAGCAATCATCTTCGATGAGTCAAGAGCTACAAAAGCTCTTGATCACAGTAGATTAGCCAATTTACACATTTGTAATTTAGGCGCTGCATTCCTTTGTCTAAAAGGGAGGCCAAAATAAAAAATCAAGCCGAATTTTTGTGTTCGACAAGTTTACTTTACAAATCATGCAAAATCATGCAAATCATCAGTTGCATGTAGTACAGTAGCGGTGTTGTTTTTTCCCTGTTAAAGTCCCAAGCTCAACACCTAGCCTACGCTTTAGTATGTTTATTTTGAAATGGGTATGTTTTTTTGTCTGTTTTCTAACAGGTGTTTTTTTTGTTTGTTTGTTTCTATCATATTAAATGTAGTCTTTATTTAATGGTTACTCACTTTATTAGCTCCGGTTAATGAACACAATCATAGTCTTCTTGAAACGTCAGGAGTTTGAAAAGAATGGTGAATA